GGGCTGGAGAGATGGCTCAGTGGTTAAGAGCATTGCCTGTTCTTCCAGAGGTCCTGAGTTCAATTCCCAGCAACCACATCTGTAATGAGGTCTGGTGCCCTCTTCTGGCCTGAAGGCATACAAGTAGACAGAATACTGTATACATAATAAACAAACAAACAAACAAACAAATAAATAAATAAAAAGATTGGAATAGAAAGGAGGCTGGAGCCGGGCAGTGGGGGCGCACGCCTTTAATCCCAGCACTTGGGGAGGCAGAAGCAGGCAGATCTCTGTGAGTTCAAGGTCAGCCTGGTCTACAAGAGCTAGTTCCAGGACAGGTTTTACAGCTATAGAGAAATCCTGTCTCGAAAAACCAAAGAATAAAAATAAAAAAAAAAAAAGAAAAGAAAAGAATGAATGAAAGGACTAGAGAGATAGCTCAGCAGTTAAGAGCACAGACTGTTCCTCCACAGGACCTGAGTTCAATTCCCAGCATCTCCATAACAACTGTATGTAACTCCAAGATCTGTGACAAGGTCACACTAACATGCATGCAGGCAAAATACCAATGCACATAAAACAAAAACAAATGAATTTTTAAAAAGATTGGAATAGAAGAACTTGTGTCTGCTAACACCCAACTATCAAGAGAAATTAAGACCATGTGGTTGATGGAAGCCAATGAAACCATTGTAGCTTATGAGTTTATTATTATTCAATAACTTTTGCCCTTGTGGAAAGACACAACATGCCCACCTATGTTTCTGGAACAGAATGTTCTCAGCATCCATCTAAGTTTTGTGCCTATATCTATACCACGATTTGAGGCCAGTGGTTTCCAAATTGAAAGAGATGAGTCAGGGGCAATATCACAAAAAAGAATGCTGTGTCGGTGCGAACAACAGCTAGCCATTATATTGACCATGGATGCTGTATTGGTGCGAACAACAGCTAGCCATTATATTGACCATGGATGTTGTATCGGTGTGAACAACAGCTAGCCATTATATTGACCATGGATGTTGTATCGGTGCGAACAACAGCTAGCCATTATATTGACCATGGATGCTGTATCGGTGCGAACAACAGCTAGCCATTATATTGACCGTGTTGGAGATAGGCGTATAGTAAGAGGCAGGCACTAGGGATGCCTAGGAGATGCTCAGCAATTTTTTATTGCTGTTACAGACAGCACTAGTTATAGACTGTTTCTTGTCCAAATCTTAAAAATACCCTCTAAATTCACTGTATGATAACTATCTGCATTTATTTAATTTGCTAAAGTAGCTGATACCATCGTCTTTAACAGATCACTATCCTAAAGCAATCAGTAGAAGTCTGCTGTGGGTGTGACTGTATGAGGGACGGAAATACCGATAGGACACACTGAGAAATCATTCTGTGAAAAAGGTACTGATAGGAGCTGAAGAGATGGACCTGTTAGGAGAACTTGTTACTCTTGCAGAGGACCTGGATTCAGTTCCCAGTGCCTACAGGACTGCTCACAACTATCTGCAACTTCAGTCCCAGGGGATTCTCCTCCCTCTTCTGACCCACAAGGGAACAACCAATGCTTGTGCTACATATATACATGCATGCAGGCATACCTATAAAAATAAACACATCTTTTAAATTAGCATTAATAGTGACAGAGGACTCATATACAACCATACTTGTTCTAAGAATATCATATGCCATTGATTTAAAGTGCCAGAGAGGTGGGCATGTAGCTCAGGAATTTAGCATACAAGAGGCCCTGGATTCATTTGCCATCATAGAAAAACTTTTTAAACTAAAATGTAGCCAGGCAGTGGTGGTGCACGCCTTTAATCCCAGGCAGAGGCAGGCGGATCTTTGTGAGTTCGAGGCCAGCCTGGTCTACAAGAGCTAGTTCCAGGACTGGCTCCAAAGCAACACAGAGAAACCCTGTCTCGAAAAATAAACTAAAATGTACATACATTGTAATATATTTATATCTTATATATGTGAAATAAATGTCAATAGCGTATCCCAAAAACTGCTTTAAGATTAAAAGCAACAAGAAGCCATAGCTTCTCTCTGCTTCCAGGTCCACAGAGACGTGAGCTGACTTCCTGTGCTTCTGTCCCCATCCCTGAGCCATGAGCTACCACACTGACAATATAGACTATACTCACAATGAGACAAAACAAATCTTTCCTCCCTTGGGAAAAAAGGAAAGTCACAAGGAAAGAATGTTCTTTTTAGGTAATGTGCTCTGTGTATTTCCTGGGATGATGGAATTTTCCTGTGAGAGACACATAGCTAGCCAGGCCTGTGATCTCAGGAATAGGGAGGTGGAGGCAGATCCCTCAGGACTTTGAGGAATCCTCAGGGTCTGTCTAAGCAACACAAGGTTCTGACTCAAAAACTGAATACGTAGAGCAATAAAAATGGCCATGAACAGTAGTTTAAAGGCCAAGGTGCTGTTTCTCTTCACTTATTTTTTTTTTCAAGATGTGGTTTCTCTGTAGCTTCGGAGTCTGTTCTGGAACTCGCTCTATAGACCAGGCTTGGCCTCAAACTTAACTTGCCTCTCCCTGCCTCCTGAGTGCTGGGATTAAAGATGTGCACCACCACTGCCCAGCCCCTTTCACTTAGTATTATAGAACCTTTCAAAGATTTCCCCTCCTCTCCCTCAAACTCTAGGCTTACTTGGTTGTTGGGGACTGCGGACCACCAGACCCTGAAATTCTTGTAAACAACTTGTTTTCCTCTGCTCTGAGCAGCTTGCAGCTGCTCTGTGCACGAGACCCTGATGGCAGGAGAGTGTGTTCTGATGAGTCTGCAGCTGAGAGATCCTAAGAACAGGGGTGTGGCAAGAACCCTATATAAGCTGCCCATGAACACAATAAAGAGGACATTTTTGTCTCAAGGATGTCCCCGTGGCCCCGTCTCTGTGTGTGTGTATGTTTTTAAATTTTCAGCCTAGTTCCAGTAGCATGTAGCGAGTAGAGCGCGGGATGGAACCAGTGGAGTTTTACACTTGGTAACAGCACATCTGGACAAGATAATCTAACTACCTTTGAAATGATCTTGTTGGGATTTTTCTCCCTCCCTCAAAACACTCCCCCTTTTCCTCTTCTTCTTGTATTGTAGCCATACCCGATCACTTCTGGCCTCTAGTGTTTGGAGGAGCCATGCTGACCTGTTCTGAAGACTTATTCTCTCTCTATGCTGCTAGGATGCGTCAAACCCTCAGCAATGGTTTCCTCAGTTGCTTTTCTAAAACACACAGGAATTAGATGAGGGAGAGAGGGGGCAACAGGGGAGTTCAAAAGGACTAACAAAGAAAGAAACTTCCTTGTATCTGTTTCAAGACCTTGATCATGGGCTAGTTTATAGTTGTTTTTTGTTTGTTTGTTTTACTCTTTGGGGGTCCACCAACCAGCTCCCAAATAAACACACGGGGACTTATTCTTACTTATGAATGCCCAGCTTGGCTTGCTTATAGCCAGCTTTTCCCTCCCTCCCTCCCTCCCTCCCTTCTTTCTTTCTTTCTTTCTTTCTTTCTTTCTTTCTTTCTTTCTTTTCAAGACAGGGTTTCTCTGTTACTTTGGAGCCTGTCCTGAACTTGCTTGTAGACCAGGCTGGTCTCAAACTCACAGACACCAGACACCTGCCTGCCTCTGCCTCTCTAGTGATGGAATTAAAGGTGTGTGCTACCACTGCCCAATTAGCAAACTTTTTTTAACTTAAATTATCCTGTCTACCTTCTCCCTTTGGGCTTTTATCTTTTTCTGTATATGCCTGCCTCTGCCTCTCTAGTGCTGGAATTAAAGGTGTGTGCTACCACTGCCCAATTAGCAAACTTTTTTTAACTTAAATTATCCTGTCTACCTTCTACCTTTGGGCTTTTATCTTTTTCTGTATATGCCTTTCTTTTCTTCTTACTCCTGGCTTGATGTGTGGCTGTGTAGTTGGCCCCTGGCATCCTTCTCTCCTCCTTTTCTCGCTCCTCCCTTCCTCTCTGTTCTATTCATTCTCTCTTCCTGGCAGTCCCACCTATCCTTGCTCCTGCCTACCTATTGGCCATTCAGCTCGTTACTAGACCAATCAGGTGTTTTAGACAGGCAAAGTAAGACTGCTTCACAGAGTTAAACAAACGTAACATAAAAGCACACAAGACATCTTTGCAGCATTAAACAAATATTGCACAGCATAAACAAATTAAACACATCTTCAGCTAATATTCCACAGCATGAGGTGGTTCAGCAGGGTTAGGCATTTACTGCCAGCTCTGAGTTCAGTTCCCAGGATGCACGTGGGTAGAGAGAACTGACTCCCACAAGTTGTCTCTGGCCTCTACAAATACTCCATGGCATACACACATACTCTTAAAAGCCCTTGAGCTTCTCATATTTCCAGTATGGTACACTCTTACATCTTAACAGCTCCTAAAGCTTAAGCATTGTGTTCAAGAAGACCATTTTATTTCACTCAGCCAACCTTTCCCACACTGACCACTCCGCGCGTACGTTTTCCCCCTAGTATGCCTCATTCTTGCTGCTCTGGTTGGGAGTCAGGTGTTAAAGGTGAGTTGAGAATGGCTCAGGTACAGAGCAGGGGTATGGTTGACTCACTCATGGCTCAGGGAAAGAAACCTGTTCGCTCTGAAAGGTGTGGCAGGTTAAATGTGAGGCTCACATGGACCGCAGCCATTTGGCTACCACAGGAAAACCACCTGGGAAAGCCAACACCAGGAAGTGGGTCCAACAGCTGTTGTGTGATATTTCCAGGAAAGCGGTAAATGAGAGCCTATTCCCTAGACAGGACACCAAGCACCAGCCAAGTGAGCAAATACTGTCAAGACTAACTTAGCGAACAGTGAGTTTACTGAGGTGACACGCAGAAGCATAAAGTGACTCAAGGCAGCTGAATCACAAAAAGCCCAGCCCAGCCCAGCATGGGTGACAACTCAGGGAAGTTTACCCCCACACACCTGGCAGGCAGTACCACGGGACAGCTTCCTCCCTCACCAGCAACCCACGGCTGGTATAAACTTTTGGGAGGGGCCTTGTGAATCTGGTAAAAATTTCTCAGTTCTCTTAGCTTTGTAAGTTTTACTACCTTCTAGAAAGTCTCCTGTCTGTCTCCAATGGGGACTGTTTCAATAAGGAGGAAATAACAACAGGATAGGTGGAGAGGATGCTGGGATTGGACAATACCTGCAGTGTGCATTAAACATGCCAGCTCGGCTGTACCAAAAAAGGTAGGTTGAAGTGTGTGTGTGCGCGTGCGTGCGGTGTGTGTGTGTGTGAAACTGGGACTGGACGCAGGCAACTATTATACTCATTCAACAGAATCCTCTTTTGTTTTGAATGGGAGAGGGTGTAAGGTAGCCCAGGCTGCTCTCAAACTCACTACGTAGTCAAGGATGGCCTTGACTGTTTCTTTCACCTGTCTCTTCTCCAAATGCTGGGATTACAAGCATAAACCACCACACCCAGTTTATGCAGTGCTAGGGATAAAACTCAGTCTCTGTGTATGCTGGTGTGTGTGTATGTGTGTTGTGGGGGGGAACTACTGAGCTATATCCCCAGTTTCATCAAAATCTTTTCAATCATACTATTGGAGTCTAATGAGGGGTTGGAGAGATGGCTTAGCAGTTGAGAGTTCTAATGAAGTTGGGCGGTGGTGGTGCACACCTTTAATCCCAGCACTCAGGAGGCAGAAGCAGGTGGGATCTCTCTAAGTTCGAGGCCAGCCTGGTCTACAGAGTGAGTTCCAGGATAGGCTCCATAGCTACTGAGAAACCCTGTCTCGAACCCACTTCCCGCAAAAAAAGAGGTCTTAGGTAAACTGCAAATATTCAAATACATAACTTGATGAGTTTTGATATATGTATATTACTTGTGTCCTCGGTGGGTATTATTATTATCATCATCATCATCACGATGGTTGCATGTGTATGGGGATGGTGTTAGTGGTGCATGTCTGTGTAGTCACATATGAGTCTGGATATGCCTGTGTACCCATGTGCCTGTGTGCACTTGTGTGGAGGCCACAGAAAGGTGTTCTCTTCCACCTTCTCTTCATTCCCAGATAGTTATCTCACTGAACCTGAAGCTTGCCCTTTTGGCTGGGCTAGGTGCCCTGTTAGCTCCTAGGCCAGTCTGTCTCTGCATCTCAAAGCAGGGTTACAAATATGGCAGTCAAACTTGACTTGTTGGGGAAGATGGGTACTTGAACTCAAATCCCCATGCTTATACAGCAGGTGCTCTTACCTACTGAGCCATCTCCCAGACCTCTGTGGGTTTCTTACTCAAAGTCAAGTTGACAGCCCAAATTAACCAACACACATTCAGTTGTCGTGTGCTCATGTGGGGTTGCTTCATTTTGTTGCTTTGAGACAACCTCACTATGCCGCTCAGGTGAGCCTGGAACTCAAAATCCTCCTGCCTCAGCTTCCTGAGCACTGTGATTATCAACATAAATTACTATGCCTGATCTACAGTGAAATTATTTCTGCCTCTCTCTCTCTCTCTCTCTCTCTCTCTCTCTCTCTCTTTTGAAACAGGGTTTCTCAGTATCATCCTGGCTGTCCTGGAAAATCCTTGAGGTTCTATTGTGGATAATTGACTTTCTACTTGTAAGTACTTCCCCTGTTTTAATGATGCAACTATTTATAATTGCAATTAAAACCTAATGACAGGGGAACTACAAGTTCACTTTAATAACTAAAACAATTAACAAGTACAACATACTAATAAAGTACAAAAGCCATATAATCATTTTAATAGACATTAAAAAGCTTTTGGCAAAATCTAACATTTTTTTAGGATAAAACATCAGACATAGTAGGAAAAGCCAGAGCTCCCTCAACCCCTTAAAGGACATTTAAAAAACACATGTAGCTGGAATTACTCTAGTGGTGAAAGTCTGGATTTTTTTTCCCCCCAAGATCACAAACATGATAGGAAGGTCACCTGTCACTGCTTGTATTCAACAGCTGAGCTGCAACTTCTAGCCAGGGCAATTAAAAAGGGAAGGTTAAATAGAGGACTTCCAGGAATGGTGGTGAATGCCTGTAATTCCTGTACCGAGGCTGAGGCAGAAGGATTGTGAGCTCACAACAGCCTGGGCTGTGTAATAAGACTCTCTCACTAAAACAAACAAAAAAACCCATAAAAGAAACAGACAGACAAAGGGATAACATACAACACGATAAGATGCTGCTTCAAACACGTTAGGATGGCTAAAACAGAGACAGACAGTAACAAGTATTGGTGAAATATGGACCAATCGGAACCCTGTACATTGTTGGTGGGAATATAAAATGTAGCAGCAGCTTTGGGAAATAGTTGTCCAACTCCTTTAAAGGTGAAAAAGAGCCATCATATAATCCTGCTATTCGGTTCCTCTGTCTCTACCCAGGAGAAACCGACTAGCTACATCAACACAGGAACATGTATACAGATATTCATAATCACAACAGTTAATGTGGAGACACAGCTCGGATGTCTATCAACTGATGAGTCGATTAAAAAAGTTGATGTTCATAAAACAATATTATTCAGCAATGAAAAGGAGTGAGATACTGATGCATGATATGGGATACAAGAAACTCTGAAGCGCACTCGGGAGGCAGAGGCAGGTGGATCTCTATGAGTTCGAGGCCAGCCTGGTCTACAAGAGCTAGTTCCAGGACAGGAACCAAAAGCTACTGAGAAACCCTGTCTCGAAAAATAAAAAAAAAAAGAAACTCTGAAGCATTGGGCTAGTCCAAGAACACACACATAAGGAAGATGCAGATGCTTCTAAAAATGGCCAAGACAGAAGGCACAGGAGTGGTTTCATTGACCTAGGTGAGATTAGAGTATGAGGGGGGTACCAAGGGCAAGGGAGGTAGGACAGGGAATGACTGTTAGTGTGTCCAGTGTTTGGATGAGGCTGTTTTAAATTAAATTATGGTGATGGTTGGGAAACTCTAAGTATACTGAAAAACACTGCATTCTATACTATGTGTCTTATGGTATATTAAGTTCTTTTTAATTTTTTTCTATCTTTCTTTTGATTGGATCAATGCTTTTGCCTTCATGTATGTCTTCTTCCTGTGTGTGCCTCGTCCCTGTGGAGGTCAGAAGAGGGCATCAGATCCTGAGAAACAGGAGTTACATGAGCCTGTGTGTTACTGTGTGGGTGCTGGGAATCGAACCCAGGTCCTCTGCTAGAGCAGCCAGTGCTCTTAACTGCTGAGCATCTCTCCAGGCTCCTCTGGAAAGTTCTTAATAAAGAAAATAAAATCTGGGCTGGGAAGATGGCTCAGCAGTTAAGAGCCCTGGCTGTTCTTCCAGAGGTCCTGAGTTCAATTCCCAGCAACCACATGGCGGCTCACAGCCATCTGTAATGAGATATGCTGCCCTCTTCTGGCCTGCAGGGATACATGCAGACAGAACACTGTATACATTATAAATACATAAAAAAAGAAAAAGAAAATCTAAGATACTGTACACAAACACCACACACACACATGTCCTGTTCATTAATATAGACTATGTTTTTAACCTTAAAACAACACTACTTTCAGCTGGGCGATGGTGGTGCACGCCTTTAATCCCAGCACTCGGGAGGCAGAGGCAAGCGGATCTCTGTGAGTTCAAGACCAGCCTGGTCTACAGAGCTAGTTCCAGGACAGGAACCAAAGCCACAGAGAAACCCTGTCTCGAAAAACCAAAAAAAAAACCCCACTACTTTCTGTGTGTTTGTCTTGAGATTGAGTCTCTTTCTAGCCTGGGGTAGCCTTGTAGAGGAGGATAATCTTGAATTGCTGATCTGCCTGTGTCCATCTCCTGAGTGCTGAGATTCTAAGTATACCAATGCCCTCTTCGGGTCTAGTTTTTGTTTGTTTACATTTATTGCATCTGTGATTACATCTGTAATCACAACAGTAGGGAAGCCGAGGCAGGAGGCTCACGGACAGCATGTGGAATCTTGTTGGAGTCAGGGGAGTGAATGAAGGCGGAAGGGAGAAAGAGAGATAACCATGAGATTCCTGAGAACTGTTGGTCTATTCACTTTAAAAAAGATTTTTATTTTGACGTGTGTGTGTGTGTGTGTGTGTTCGCACATGTGTGCAGGTGTGAAGGGAGACCAGGAAAAGGTGTCGGATCCCCTAGAGCTGGACTTAGATGGGTCGTTAGGTGCCTGGGATGGTTATGGGACTAGAACATGGGTCCTCTGCAAGCACTGTTAACCTCTCCTTATTCACTTTCTGCACGTGTGACCTTGATAATGAGGAAACTGGGTCTCTTAAAGGATTAATAAGTGACAGAGATTCAAACAGTGGCCGTCGGTGGAGGAAACAATTCAGAGCCCAAGGCTTTAGTAGACATTCTGCACAGTCATTTCTTGAACTACTCTAAAACAATAAGTAAAGTCAGCAGAAAACATCTAACCTTTACGATGTTCTGATGTGACCCAAAGGATGTGACTCGAATGTCACGGACAACCATGGACCTCTGCTCCAGCCCGGGGAGCAGTCCACCTACGGAAAGCTTGAATCTGTATCCATATGCTGCTTTCCCACTATCCTGGTGGAGAGGAAGAAAAGCAGGGAACAGATCCCCAAACTGAACCCCTGACATCACCCTTCCCTGGTGGGCATATGTGCTCATAGATCAGGACCCCCTCAACCTATAGGAAGAGATGATGTGGAGCTGAGACCTGAAGTGATTAGATAAACGGAGACATAGGGAAGGGTGCATTTCCTCCCACCTACTTACCTGGCCTCCTCCACATCCCTTAGGGATCAGAGTCTCAGACATTTCAAGCTGGCTTCAGACTGCTAAGTAGACAAAGATGCCCTTGAACTTCTGTTTATCCTACTTCCCAAATTAAGAGCTTACACGTTTGCGCAACTATGGTTTCTGCAATGCCAGGGATCAAACCCAGGGCTTCATGTATGTTCTACTGATCTACAGACAAAGCTATTCCCCAGCCTCAGCTCTTCACTCCATTTTCCCTTTCTTCCTTCCTCCCTCCCCCTCCCCCCTCTTCCTCCCTCCCTCCTTCCCTCCCTCCCTCCCCTCCTCCCTCCCCTCCTCTCCCCCCTCTTCCTGCCTGCCTCCCTCCCTCCCTTCCTATCTTTCTATTTTTATTTTTGAGACAGGGTTTCTCTGTGAAACATCCCTGACTTTTCCTGGAACTCTCTTTGTAGGCCAGCCAGGCTGGTCTCGAACTCACAGAGATCCTTTTGCCTCTGCCTCCCAAGTGCTGGGATCAAACGTGTGTGCCACTACACCTGGCTTATTTTTTCCCTTTCTCTTTCCTCTTCTTCCTCCCTTTCCTCCCCCTCGCCCTTTAAGATAGGATCTCTTGTAGCCCACATTGGCCTGGAACTCCTGATCCTCCCACCCCTACCTCCCAATCCCTGGAGATACAATGTGGCTTCCCTGCCGGTTTTAAAAAGGAGATAAAGTCTCACTGTAATGCTCACCCTGGCTCTGGCTTATGGACTAAAGCTAGGCTCATTCTTAAGGCATAGCAGAGTAACTGGAGGTGCAGGTGCAGCTGGAGGTACAGGTACCCAACTTTGGGAAGACTTCCCCCTTAAGCAAGTGTCTTACTCAAGAGTCTTCTGGTGACAAGCACCAAAAGCAGACAGCTAAGTTAGCTTTAGTGGAACAGAAAGTTTGGTGAAGATGTGGTGGGTACTGTATTACTAATAATGCCAGCACACACACACACATACACACACACACACACACACACACACCACCAGCTTTCCTTCCCTTCTGCCTCCTTATTCTGTTTGGGTACAGGGAGGAAACCCTTGATCTCAGAGCAGAGTCTTGCCAGTCATGATTCATAACTGGGCTAAGGTAATAACAGAAATCCAATTCACCTTTGCCACACCTTCACCTTCCCATCCTTCCTTGTATGATGTCAGCGACCCGGATCCAGACACAGCAGGCCCTTCTGCGAGGTCTGTAGGAGAGATTTGTCTTTATTAACAAAGACTGAGCCCCTTTCCTTCTGGCTCCTTCCTTGCTTCCTTGATGCTGTGATGGGAGGACAAAATGTCTGGAGCCATGGGAACTATACTGTGACCACAAGACAACAAGCACCATGATAAATCAGCATGTTGAATGCCAACTGATGGAAGAGCCTTGGTCCTCAGTGACACGGCTGAAGTAAGCAAGCCCTGCTCTACCTCTTCCATCTTTCCTGAGGAAACAACTCGTCCGGGGGGATGTAATCTCTCTCTCTCTCTCTCTCTCTCTCTCTCTCTCTCTCTCTCTCTCTCTCTCTCTCTGAAATAGGGTTTCTCTGTGTAGCTCTGACTGTCCTAGAACTCCCTCTGCAGACCAGGTGGACCTCAAACTCACAGATATCCTCCTGCCTCTGCCTCCTGAGTGCTGAGCCACCACTGCCCGACTAGGTTGTCCCTTATTGTTCCTCAAACACATCTAAATTCAGGCAGATGTATGCCATGCTCAGTGTGAGTCCCAAGGGACCCAAGAGCAGCTTTTCCTGAACTGAGAAAACAGAATCTGGAGAGCTGCCGGGTCTGCTCCTCCTCCAGCCTCACCTGTAGTCTGAGAACAGCGTCAGGTCTTCAACGCTCTCTCTGCTTCCACTGACCCAGCTCTCCAATGGCAGAGCCAGGTCTGCATTTCCTGTATCCTAGACAGTTAGGTCTACAAGGACTACAGGAACCTCATTTCAAGACCTGGAAAAGAGAATATACAGATCTGGCTTTGAATCATCTACACCCAGACCCAATGAACAAGGCCCTGGAGCAAAGGTACACACGTAAACACTGCTGTAAAAGGCCCACCTCAGGTGTGTGTAAAGATTTTTGAGTGCTTGTTTGTTTGTCCATACATTGGGATAAGATCTTGCTATGAAGCCCAGCTGGCTTCTAATTCAAAATCTCGATTTGGTTTCCCTAGTGTGTGGATTACAGGTGAGCCCCAACTAGCCTAGGAATTTCTTTTTCTTGTTTTGTTTTTGTTTTTGTTTGAGACATGTTTTCTCTGTGTAGTTCTGGGTGACCTGGAAATTGCTCTGTAGACCAGGCCATCCTCGAATTCACAAGGAAGCATCTGCCTCTGTCTTTTGAGTGCTAGGATTAAAGGTGTGTGCCATCACTGCCCGGCAAAACCTAGGAATTTCTTAAGAGAAAGCCAGGCATCTGGTAAAAGACCTCCCGAAGTGTCCACTATTCTCTATTGAATGAGGCAGAATAGTGGATCAACTTAGATGGGAAATTCCTCATTCTTTTTAAAAACAGGCTGGCCTCAAACTCTGCCTCCTGCCTCTGTCTTCAAAGGCCTAGAATCACAGACCCCAGCAACCCTACAAGTTCACTCTAATGAAACAATTTCAATCTCTTTTGAAACAGGATTTCACTGTAGCCTGGGTTGAATATTGCTATGTAGCCACGGATGACCCCTGAACTTTCTGATCCT